TACAAGTATTCTAACTCAATTATTAGTAATAGTTGCTATAATATAAATATTACATAGGTGATTATCTAAATTTTTACCATCAATGGGATTTGAACATCCAAACTACCACTTGGAGGGTTAACAACCTGACCACTTTACTAGGTCACCATACTCTTCTTGCTAATATTTATATGATATTTAGTATATAAATATAAATATTAAAATATTGACTATTTGATATCAAAGTTAACTTCATTAATATTTCTAATATTTATTATATAAAATCAGATATAAAAATACATACTGTCTAATATTAAATTATCTTTATTAATATTTGTACATTGTTGAGTTCAGAATTGTTGTTATTGCTATTGTTAAACCAAGAATTATTGCTGTTGCTGTTGTTAAATTCAAAATTGTTACTGTTATTATTGTTAAACTCTAAATTGCTACTATTATAATTATTAAGTCTAGACTCAGAATTATTATTGCATTTAGAATTATTGTTAAATTCAAAATTATTATTGAACTCAGAATTGTTGCTATTATTATTGTTAGATCCAGAATTGTTATTATTGTCATTGTTGAACCTGAACTTAGAATTATTATTGCATTCAGAATTATTGTTAGATCCAGAATTATTATTAAACCCAAAATTGTTGTTAGATTCAAAATTGTTGCTAATCTTAGAACTATTGTTGGTTTTAGACTTGTTATTATTATTGAATCCAAAACTGTTATTGTTAATAGATCTAGAATTGTTATTACTATTAAAACTAGAATTGTTATAATTTTTAAAATCAGAATTGTTATAATTTTTGAAACTAGATTTATCATAATTGTTAATAATCTTAGAATTGTTATTAAACTTATAATTATAATAATCAATTAATTTGTAATCATTAGCTAATTAGTATTACCAGGTTTTAAGTTTCTATTAATATGATTTTTGTATTTATTAGAATTATAAAATAAGAAGATGGTTCAAAAAAAAGCATTGAGCTAAGGTTTTGATAGATTCATCAAGTTATTAATATAATTTTGATACTTTACAATTTTATTTAACTAATTTGTTAATACTATTTCTTTAACTTGCTATAAAATTTCTTATACTGTTTTAAAAAAGTTAGGCCAATACAAGTATAAAAAAGAAGACATATATGTCAAATCATTAAAATAAAAAAATAATTAACTTAACCTTTCAGATCTCTATATTGGAGTTTTACCTTAATTATATAATCATTATTTAAGTCTTATTATTAGTACTATATTTGATAATTTGTTTATTAATAACTCAATAAAAACCTTTTATTCTAAATATGTTTAATATTTATATTATAAAATTTATTAATATAATTTATACTAAATTTATACCAAATTTGCAACATTTTAATATAAATTTATTTAAAAATTATATAGAATATTAATAGTATTTATATTATATTTATATAGATAATATTTGTAAAAACTCTTTCTTATAGATACAAAACACTAAATAAAAAATAATCAACAAAAAATAACATACATTTTAACTATTATACTAACTAAAATAAATATATATTTTAGCTTTCTTATTGTAAGAGGTTAGATGTAGATTCTACTCATAGGGGTACAATGACACACGTGACACATGACTTGTGTAATGAACAAAACAGAATTGATGAACATGAAGCACATGATTGCACTGTGGAAGGTCATGTGATTGCCCGACTAAGTCGGAGCTGTATTTGTAATAGTAGTAATGGGCCATGTTATGCACATGAATAATGTAGTAATTAATAGTAGTAGTAGCAACCCATGTAAAACGCATGAATAATGTAGTAATTAGTAGTAGTAGTAGTAGTGCATAATAAATGTAGTCATAGGGTAAATTCGTATAAGCAATAATTGTGTAAGGAAAAAGGTCGAATTAGTTTTAGCTATAAATAGGAAAGAAAGTTAGTTAGTAAAAACATTAGCAAAGAAGAAAAATAACCAAGTAATAAAGAAAATACTTCCTCTTTTGCTTATAAATGGCAGGCTCCCTTTTAAGTTGTAATAAAATCGGCCTTAATATTCTGATCCCGTTACAGTTGGTAGCAGCAGATAAACTATTTATATATATATAAAAAAAAAAAAAATAAAAAAAAATAAAAGAGAAAGAAGAGAGAGATAAACACATAACAAATGCAAAAAACCAGAAACCTACCCTACTACTAACAATAATGGAAGATCAAGGCACACTGGAAATGTCTAATTCCTTTCAACTTTTTCAACAATTCCTATCCAACCAAGACCAAATAAATCAGTATCTTGCTTCTTCAATGCAACAAACAAATACCCACCTACAAATGTTATACATGGGAACAACAACCAGTACTAAGACCAAAACGCCACACCGTCAAGAGGGTTGACTGTTCAACTTCCGGTTTTTAGTGACAGAGACAGCGAAAACATTCTTACATGGTTGCTCCAAGTCGATCACCTTTTCAAGGCAAGAAAAGTTGATGATGATGAATGGTTACAGTATATGATCATAGAACTCCAAGATGCAGCATTGCAATGGTACCTAAACCAGGTACAAGCTGATAAAAGTCACCAACCATTTGCAAGTTGGGAATCTTTTGCTGCTGGAATCAAAGATGCATTTCAACCGCCTCATTACTAACAAATGTTGCAATGACAATTGAGAAACTTGAAGCAAACCATGACCGTTTAAGAATATGCTTCAAGATTTGGGAACATACTTGGACAGATAGATGGAATGCATGAAGCCGATAAGGTCATGTATTTCACTGAAGGGTTAAAGGGAGTGACAAAAGCAGAAATAAATTACCACGCACCTGAAAATTTGGATGACACCATAAAGTTAGCTGCCAGTTATGACTCTGCGATATATGGTGTAATAAAAAATGTTAATAAGTGGTATTCCAGGAAAGATTCAAGAACATTGGTGCAAAATAATTGGAAATATAGTAAACCTAATGGCAGTTACTCATCACAAAGCAAAGGTCAAGCTTCTACTCTGATGGAATTAGATAGAGTGGAGTTAGGAAATTCCATAAAATTTAGACCTATTAAGGAAAAAAATAAAGAAAGTAAGACAGTGTAGGATGAACAAAAAAATGAATACAAAAAACAGGGATTATGTTTCATTTGTGGGAAGAAAGGTCATGTGGCAAAAGAATGCCAAGTAAAGTCTGAACATATAATGAAATCAATAAGATTGAAAATGCTGAGCCAAAAATGGCTGAAACAACAAACGTAGAGAAAAATGAAGAACACGAAAGGCCGAATAGAGAAAGTCTTTTAAAGGTGAAGGAGGAGATACAAGGGAAAAGAGCCCTTATCTTGATCGATTCCGGAGCATCCAAGAATTTTTAAACCTAAATTTTGTGGAAAAATTGCAATTAGAAATGGATGAGAAAGAAGTTGACACTACAACAGTGGAATTAGCAGATGGATCACTGTGCAAGTCACGAGGAAACGTGACAGATGTTGCTATTGAATTTCAAGAATATAAGAAAAGAAGAAAGACTATAGAAGTCATACCCTTGCAGAAGTATAACATGATTCTCAGTAAACCATGGCTTTACGACCCTAATCCTCACATTGACTAGAGATATAATAAAATGAAAATAAAAAGAGGGCGATGTACTTTCATAATTAAGGCTAGTGAACAAAATGACACAAAAGCATGTCAGTCAATTCTGGTAACAAGAAACCAATTTGTTAAGGATACAAAAAGTACTGCAGAATTATATGCAATACTCTTATCCAACACTACAAATGAAAAACCGTAATCGACCAAACACCAGAATTTTTAAAGGATTTGGTGTTTCAATACAAGGACTTGTTTTCTGAGGAATTGCCAGATAAATTACCACTACGCAGAAGCGTAGACCACGAAATTCCATTGCAAGTAGATAGTATACCACCATATGGACCTATATACCGATTATCCATTCTGGAAATGAAAGAATTGAAAAAACAAATTAAAGAATACTTACAAAAAGGTATAATAAGGCCAAGTACATCTCCATACAGGGCTCTTGTGTTGTTTGTAGCAAAGAAGAAAAGAACTCTTAGAATGTGTGTTGATTACAGAGTCCTAAATAAAGTAACAATCAAAAACTGGTATCCCTTGCCGCATATAGATGAATTAATCAACCAGTTACATGGGGCAAAATTCTTTAGTAAATAGATCTCTATTCGGGGTATCACCAGATAAGGGTGAAAGATGAGGATATTCATAAAACCATGTTTAGGACCAGATATGGTTATTTCGAATTTCTTGTCATGCCATTTGGCTTGACAAATGCCCCTACCTCATTTATGAGATTAATGAATGATATTTTTAGGGATCAATTAGACAAGAGTGTCATTGTCTATTTAGACGATATACTAGTATACAGCCAAACGAAAGAAGAGCATCACGAGCATATGTGTCAGGTTTTTGAAACTCTTCGGCACTATAAGCTATACAGAAAAATGAAAAAATGCGACCTAGAAAGAAATGAAGTTGAGTTCTTAGGTCATATTATATCTAATGATGGAATAAAGATGGATCCCAAGAAAACCTCTGTCATCCAAGACTGGCCAGCATTAACTAAAATCCATAACCTCTGTTCTTTTTTGGGCCTCGCAAGTTACTATCGCAAGTTCATTGCGAATTTTTCAACTGTAGCAGCACTACTAAACAAGTTGCTCAAGAAAGATGAAAAATTCGTTTGGAATGAACAGCAGAAACTAGCTTTTAAGGCCCTCAAGAAGGCGTTAACCTCTGCCCCAATCTTATTAATACCTGACCCCAACAAACCTTTTTCGGTAACAACAGACGCCTCTGATATAGCAATCGGTGCAATTCTGTACCAAGACCAAGGAAAAGGGGACCAACCAGTGGCGTATGAATCCAGAAAACTAACGCCAGCTGAGTTAAACTACCCAGTGCATGAAAAGGAACTCTTGGCGGTCATACATGTGTTAAAGGTTTAGCGTATGTATTTAGAAGGAAGATTTTTCCAAGTGACAACTGATCATGAATCGCTAAAATACTTGCAGTCGCAAGCAAAGCTGTCATGTAGGCAAGCCTGTTGGGTTGAAACGCTCCAAGCATATGATTTTGTGATTAAATATCATCTGAAAAAAACCAATGTGGTAGCTAACGCTTTATCAAGGAAACCCAAGGTAAATAGCATTAGTGAAGTTCACATAGATGAAGAATTATATGAAAGAATAAAAGAAGAATATAAAGAGGATGCCCATTTTCAAAAAATTTTGAAGGCGCTTGAAGATCCTAGTTGTGATGAAGCGAAAAGGTTAGGAAAACAATTAACTCGTTACAAGCTATGCAAGAATGGAATTATTACCTTTGAAGATAAAGAAAATCCATGGTTGTGCCTTACAAAAAAATCCAAAACACGAATGCTTCTATTGAAAGAACAACATGATATCAGTAGGCATTTTGGATTCAAGAAAACATATGAAGGGTTGAGAAGATATTACTATTGGAAAAACATGGCTAAAGACACAAAAAAGTACATATGTAGCTGCGATAGTTGTCAACATAACAAGGGCTCTATGCAGGCACCTGCAGGGTTGTTACAACCCTTAGAAATACCAGCTCAACCATGGGAGGTAATTTTGATGGATTTCGTTACACATTTGCCATGTACTGAACATGAAAATAATTCAATAATGGTAGTCATGGACAAATTAAGTAAAAAAGTGCATTTCTTACCTACCAAAGGAACCATGACAGCAATGGAAATTGCACAGCTTTTTTTTGATGAAATATTTAGGCACCATGGACTACCTAGATACATAATTTTGGATAGAGACCCAAAATTCACAAGCAGATTTTGGAAAGGTCTTTTCCAAATCATGGGATCGAAATTGAAAATGTCCACCGCAGCACACCCTCAAACTGATGAACAAACAGAGCGCACAAACCATATACTCGAAGAAGTTCTACGTGCCTACGTGAACTACAAACAAAATGATTGGGATCAACTCTTAACAGCGGTTGAATTTGCATATAACAATTCATTACAATCCTCTACGGGTTTCACCCTCTTCTAACTAGATAACGATCATTATCCTATTACTCTCCCTAGCTTAATGGTCAGCAAAATTCAACAAACAAACATAAAAGCCATACAAGAACTAATGGAACACTGGGTAACAATGATAAAAGTGGCAAGAGATGAGTTAGTAAGTGCCCAGGAAAGACAAGAAAACTATGCAAATAAGAAAAGGCGATACTTAGAATTTAATGAAGGAGATTTAGTAATGTTAAATTCAGCAAATTTAACTTCGCCCAAGAATGTTAAATGCCCAACAAAGAAATTCTTACCAAAATTTATTGGGCCATTCAAAATTATACGCAAGATATCCATGACAGCATATCAGTTAGAGTTGCCTAACACCTTGCTCATTCACCCAGTTTTCCATATTTCACTGTTAAAGTTGTACCATCCAAACGAGTTTGAAGACAGGGATATAGCACAGCCACCTACCCTGGTTATAAGGGAACACTACTCAGACCCAGAGTTCGAAGTCAAAGGCATACTAGATAAATGTATTTTCCACCTCCAGGTTCAGTATCTTGTAAAATGAAAAGGTTACCCGTTATACGACGCTACTTAGGAGCCACTAACAAACCTCGAAAACTGTAAAGACTTAGTAGAAGAATTTGAAGCACAGGGAGAAATTGTTTTAAATAGGGGAGAGTGTAAGGGGTTAGATGTAGATTCTACTTATAGGGGTACAACAACGCATGTGACATGTGACTTGCATAACGAACAAATCAGGACGATGAACATGAAGCACATGATTGCACTATGGAAGATCACATAATGGCCCGACTAAGTCGGAGCCGTATTCGTAATAGTAGTAATGGGTCATGTTATGCGCATGAATAATGTAGTAATTAATAGTAGTAGTAGCAACCCGTGTAATGTGCATGAATAATGTAGTAATTAGTAGTAGTAGTAGTAGCATATAATAAATGTAGTCATAGGGTAAATTCATATAAGCAATAATTGTGTAAGGAAAAAGGTCGAATTAGTTTTAGCTATAAATAGAGAAGAAAGTTAGTTAGTAAAAACATTAGCAAAGAAGAAAAATAATCAAGTAATAAAGAAAATACTTCCCTTTTTGCTTATAAATGGCAGGCTCCCTTTTAAGTTGTAATAAAATCAGCCTTAATATTCTGATCTCATTACACTTATTGGTCCTTTGGCTATATTTAATATATATTACAAATAGTACAATTATAATATAAACCAAAATTAAAAGAAAGAAGAACAAAACTCTTAACATCATCATAGACAATAAAAATAAATACAGGCAGCAATTTTCACATCTTAGTTCTTTTTTAAGACTATACTGCAACTATAAATGAAAAAACAAACTGCAAATACTAGCAATATTATATTTTAAAAAAACAAAGTCAACAACAAGCAGAACCTTATATATTTAGATACACAAACAAAAAAAATGTATGCTTCTTTCTAAATTACAAAACCACAAAAAAAGTATACAATTTAGCTTATTTTTAACAAATTTTGCTATTATATTATTATATGCAAATAACAATAGTAACAAATGTATTCAAATGGATTCTAATAGCACCTCAACAAAAATTATAGTTACTAACAACAATCATATTATTAAATTTTTTTTTTAGTTTGAAGTAGCAATCTTGCTTATATGTCTTTTATTAAGTAATATATAATTATATATTTATATACAATAGTCTATTAATAAAAGTACAACTAGCTATATGTATAACTTTAGTCATTATCTAATTAAGGGTTTTACCTATAGGTTACCTACTAGATGCCATACTTGAAACCCACCTCTGAGTCTCTATTTAAACTTTCTGATTTTCAATATGTATTGCATATATATAACACTTATATTATTATTGTAGTAACATATCAGATTAGAGCTATCTTAGTTACTATTTATATTAAAGTATCACCCTATTGATATTACTAAATATTTATATTCCTTTGAATTTACTATTGATTACACTTACTAAGCTGGTACTAAGATTACTACTTAGATCTAATTTAGTATATTCTGTATCTACTAAATTAGTTTTAATACCAAAAATGTTTAAATTTAATAAGTTTATTTCTTTTCTATAGCTTTCTTTTATGTTTACTATATCATCTGCTAGTGTGCCTTCTTTCTATTTCTAATATGTTCTCTACTTTTTTTGCATTAAGCACCAACTCTCTATATTAGGAAACTTTTTTTTGAAAACTTCCTTATATACTGATCTTTTATTTACATGAACTTAGCTATAAGGCTTTGCATATGTTTATATGCTTTTATAAATTACAGAGTTTTGCCTTCAGCTAAATTTAACTATCGACCCTGTTTGTAGAGGGTGGAGCACTTAGACCACTAGGCTATGGGATCTCATCTCTTATATAATTATTTTTAATAATGACTATACAAATATTATCATAAGCAATTGCAGCAAAGCCAAATACATGCCCTTGGTAAAACCTATACTAAATAGTTTAGACCTTACAGACATACAACAAAGCAATTTTAAGAACAAAGAACAAACAAATCTTAATAATCAAAACATAAAAATTAAATTTATCACTACAGTAGTTAGCAACTTTGATGAGCAAAAGACTCTATTAAAATAAAATAACACAAAAAAATATTATCATACAAAATACAACACAAGACAATATGGAGATAGATCATATTCAAGAATGAGTAAACAGCATATGCAGCAAATTGCAAGGAAAATTATATAACTTTTTAATAAAGAATTATAGAACTATAATAAAATTATTGCTGCATTAAAAACTAAAAAAGGAATTTATAAATTTGTAAAACACAAGCTACTTATCAAACCTATTAACTTTCTACTCCATTTAGCAATTAAATCCAAATTACATATCAAGATTTAGCTTTTTTTCTTATCTTTACAAAGAACAAGCTCTCTATATTCCAGCACTAGATTATCTATAAAAACTTATTTAAGACAGCAATAAAAACTACAAAAAAGCATATAAAATTATAATAATAATCAGAGCAATCTGAGATACTATATACATGAAACTTAAACAAAAAATCATTATTAACTACTTAACCAATACTAACTTTACAACAAATATATCTAAAACTTTTTGCTTTTTAATCAAATATTTTAAAAACTTTATCAGAAACAAAACTCTAATTGACTTCCAGAACATACAAGAGGCAATATAGTCTGCTTTTTTAGCACAATTGAATCTACTTTTAACAAATTTAAAAGAAATTTCTAGTAAAATTCTACAAATACATTCTTTTTATAAAACAAAGATCATAAACAAAAGCTATAGTAGTTGGGCTATACAAAATATATAACTTTGAACAACTACTAAATAAATACTTTATTACATTTGACCCAACTTTAAGAAATGTACAGAATTTATATTTTACAATAAGACATCTCTTTTTAATTACTAAACAAAGCCAACTAAACAACTTAGCATTCTATAAAAGAAGACTACAAGACTACTATACCTGCAAAGCATACCTTCAAACTATTTTAACTTACTACCTTCTAAACAGTTACTTCTACTAGTATACTAAGATCTTAGTAGCAAATACAGACTCTGTTTTTTACTAGACCTACAAGACCCAGATTCAAACATTATACAAATTATACAACTCCTTAAGCCAAGTTCTGAAGTGCAAAAGAATTGAAAAGCACTGTAAATAAAAAACAAAAATTTAACAGAGTTCAAATATAAATCATTAGAAGAAAGTACAGTAAGAAGATTTTATTTAGAATTACACAGATTGAATAAATAAATAAAGGGTAAATAATAGGTAAATAACAGAAAAAAAATCTGCCATTATTCTACTCTATATCTGCCAAATAATAGCAGCATAATAGCAGCATAACAGCAAAATAATAGTAAAATAACAGGAGTTTTGTCAATATGAATAACATAATAGTAACATAATAGCAAAATAATAGAACAGTTCTATTATTTTACTTTTAGTTACA